TGCAACAGGCCTATTGCTACGGCTTTCGCCTCGTATTGAAACCACTGGAAAACACCGATCGAAATACCCGGCCGCTAGAATTCCCCTCCAGACAGTGACTGAGTTCGACCTATCTATATAGTCAGGGACTCGAACCCTTCGACCCCGGTCTGAGCCAGTGCGGAGGCCATGGCGACAGTGGTCCTGACCGAAGCAGAGCGTGCCACAAGGCGGCCTGAGTCTGACCTGTACTGAATGAGTCCTCCGTGGGGCGCGTCGTGGCCAGGCGGCGGGCCGGGGCGCGCGGGGACGCCCGGGTAGGCAGCGGCCGCCGCCGCCGCCGCAACCATCAGCAGCACCTGCGCCAGCGCACGCAACAGACGTTCACTACGTCTCATATGCACAACTGATGGCTGACGCTTTTTAATGTCGTCTACAGGGAATTAAAGGTGTGCTATGGGTCTTTTCTCCCTTCTCTCGGAGCGCATGCAAGCAATGTTTCATTTTGAAGTCGTGGGCTTCCGCGGCCAGAGTCAAGTGCGTCATCTGGGCTGTCCGGGTGACGCCGCGTCGAAGACTGTGTTGCCGACGTTTCGAACATCCTGTCGTGGTCTTCCTCAGGGCTGGTGTGCCAAACATACCCTTCGCATACCAGCCCTGAGGAAGACCATGACAGTATGGTCGAAATGTCTTCGACGCGGTCACAGCCTTCGACGCGGCGTCACCCGGACAGCCCAGATCACGCAATGTTTCATTTTCTTGGCAGGCAATAAACAACGAGAATAAGTCTTTTTTGTTTAACTTTAGAACATCTTACCGCCACGAACAATTGAGAAGACTCTGTTGTAATCGAATAAACAACTGTTCCTGCGTTATGATTCACATTTCGAAGCTAAAACACTCTCTATTAAATTGGTACAGAGCGTAAGAAAGGAAATTACAATGAAAAAACTTCCGATGAGCCCATAAAACGTCTTCTATTCAAAGAAAATTACATTACTGATGAATTTTAAAGTTGTTAGAATATTAATTGTGCCCAAACGAGAACATAACAACGTGTGAACTATCTTACTTATATGTAGGTTTCCAGAAACTTAGAAACTAAGAAATAATTTGAAGCATTAGACTTACAAATGCAATAAATTATTTAAAAAAAGAATGTAATGTAAATATTCTGAAAATGTACATACGTGTAGTTTTTATTTAAAAGGTCACAATAGCGATTACACCATGTTATTCAGTGTATATACAAAACGTTTAATATGAAAAACGGAGCACTATTTGAGGAAAATGTCCATCAATTTGCGCAAAAACTATGAATACATTCACAAATGTACTTGAAGTTAATTAAAAATCTAACTTGAAAAAACGGGTTTTCATTGACAAAAATTTCTATTAATGTGGTTGCTTGAGGGGGAAGCTTCACATTTTCAAAAATGGAGATGTAAACTTTGGGCGTTATAGGTGTATTTTGCACTATTCTGTGAAGATATTAAAGGCATTATTAATTAAAATATTTTCATGTGGAACCTGGGGACTTCAAAAATTGTGAAGTACTCCAATAATTATAAGCTTCATTTCAAATTCGGATACTCCGGAAACGGACTAGATCAGTCAGGGAACATTCATTTTTGAAAAAATCTTTTGAAATATATAGTATTGTTCACAATCGGTTGACCAAATTGACGGACTGATGGACAGAAAAACTGTCAGTGCGATAGACACATGGACATTTTCAAATAAAATATTCGGTCTCAAAGGAATTCAAAAAGGATATTTCTGTTAACATATCGAAGTGATTTTCCGCTGCATTCCACAACTTTCTCTACACTACGTATATTACTGCATAGATACGAACGTATACGAGAAACTAAAAACAAGCGTTATTTAATGATTATATTGTCGATATTAATGATATTATCTTTGAATGAAGTTAAGTTTCGAAAATATTATTAAATAATAATGTACTTGAACCGTCTTAACGATATACGTTAATTTTCCTGATTTGCGATCATTTCAATGAAATCCATTCTGTATCTTTCACAGGAAGAAGCGAATGTCTTATTTGCGATCCTCGAAATTGAATGAACGAGAACTTTAGCATATAGACTTATACAAAGCATTATTATACTTTACCCTCATTATTCGCATGCACTTTCAAGCACAATTTGTTAGTACTCTCGTCTGTCCCCAACCCCCTAGAGGAAGCAAAAGCAAAATGCTGGGCTTACGGAGCGCATGGCGAGGCCGCTCTGCGCCTCTGGTCTTCCTCGCACTAATGGGCGGGCGGCCCCGCGCCGGCGCCCATTTATACGCGCCATTTATCGCTCGCCTGGGACTTCCTGCGGCGCTGGCTCCTCCACGGCGCCTGTTGCCATGCCTTTCACGATCGAATGGGTCGGTTAGGCCTTTCAATGCCCACTAGATACGGTTCACCGAAATAGCATCCCTAGGAAATAATCAACGTTTTTATTATTCCTCATCTAAGAACCGAATTCTGCAAACATTTACTTTCTCGCCTCCATCCTAGCTTGCAGAGTAAAGAAAGATCGCTAGACTAGTAAACCTTCTCAAAGCGTACACTGGATGGAAATCGTTAAATGACATTCGAACTAGGATAGGGCCCCCTCAATATTTCGGAAGAGGAGATCATCCATACAAAATCAAATATAGGAATCAAAAACCGACGTAGATAAATACTCTTTTGCCAACCGGACAATAACTGACTGGAACAATTTACCTGCTGCAGTGCTGGCGACTTTTCCCTCCAGTGTGCGCTGCTTCCGGAAACGCCTAGAGAATTGCGTATTATGGCAAATAACTGTGTATGTTAGGTCTTCTTAGACATTCTCCTTAGTCTTACTTTGTTAGCGTTTACTTAGTTGTACTTTCCATATTATATGCATTCCTACATATATAACATGTAATATCTCTGTACCTTTTCCATGTGCTGTAATACTCTGCCACCGAGCGAAAGCTCATTAGCAGAAAAAATAAATATTATTATTATAAAGTGAAAGTGTTGTAATGCGGCGGAAGAAATTTGCGATTTTTTGACAGATAACTTCTTATCCTTAGTCCTTATGTCGAAAAGTATAAAAAAATCGCTTCCTCTAACATGTTGTGTAGTCGGAATCAACGTTTTGTAGACCCCTTGATACCGAAAAATTAGTGTATGTCAGTCTGTCCGTTCATCTGTGAACAACAGATGCTGTGGATTTTTATACAACCACACAATATTGCGCGAAAAGTACTAAAAGTTTAAAAATGTACATAACATTGATGAAAGAACTCACTATGAACAACAAATTTTATATGAAGGAATAATCTGCATCATCAATTTTGTAGTTCTAAGAAGGCGCGGGAAAGATCCAAACCTATTCAAGTTTTGAAAAGTCATAGATAACCGTGGAAATCTTACCTATGCCACAATTATAAGAGTATTTTACTCTATCCTTACAAGAATTTTAAAGAAAATATTGGAGTCATTTGGAGAGAATTTTTAAAATGTCCGACGGGCTTCATGTAAAGTAGCCCCAAATTTTGAAGAACGTTTTTCAAAATCGTGGCGCGTTGAGTAGATTCAGATCGACCGGGGCATATCCATTTTGGAAAAAATCGTACGTATGGTTTAAGCGCTAGTGGTGTTCACAGACGGACGGGCAGACGGACGAACGTTTTGAAAAAACACTTTTTCGGTATCAGAGGACCTCAAAACGTGTGTTTTCGTTGAAATCTCGAAATCGATTTTCTGCAGCATTACATAACCTTCCCTATACTACATATATTACTCCGTTTATAGGTACGTATACTAGATAATAAAAAATATCTTCACAATTCTAGTTGAAAGAAAGCGACAAACTTTTTTTTATTTTAAAAAAATCAGGCATTTCAACTGACATAAACCTGTACCATTCTCTTAAGTGTTCTTTACACCATCTAAGGTTTAAATTTAATCAAAAAATGTTGCGCCGTTTTTAAGAAAAACTGGTTTAAACAAAATGAAAATTGCTTGTTTTTGACACATAATTTCGAAAAATTACTCATGTTTTTGAAAAATTGAACTTGACAATAATTTTAGATCTTTGTTTCCTGAACACATTTCGTTAAGAACACAGGTTTATCTTCATTATTGTAGTTGTAGGAAGACGCTGAATACGTTTTAAATATTTGCAATTTTCGAAAAATTATATTTCAACGAAAATGACACCAGCATCATTCTCTTAAACATCCTTTACACTATCCAACAAGACAATTTAATACAAAAAAATAGATCCATTTTTGTCAAAATTTGGAGAATGTCCTAGGGGCTTCATGTTAAAAAAACAAAATTGAAATATTAGTTTCAAGTTCAAGGGGCCGCGTCATCAGCTAGATCTATAGGGAAATGTCAATTTAGGAGGAAATCGACTGATCTGTTTAGCCGCTAGGGTAGTTCAGGCACAGACGAACGGACGGACGTTTTGACGTCAGTCGATTTTTCGATATCAAGGACTTGGATTCTGGCTACACTACGTGTTAGAGGATTTTATGTTTTTAATTTAGCAGCTGGATGTATCCACTTTTTCGTTACCAGGGTCCTGTAATAAGATTTTTCTGCCGAAAATTCGCCGTTTTTTCGGGCAGCATTACATAACTTCCTCTCTACTGAGTAAGTGGTAGCGAGAGGGTAATGTATTTTCATAACCCAGCAAATTATAACGTCAATGTGTTTTCGTAGAATAGTAGTACAAAATTATGTCATTGTAATTTGATTTGATTCGATTTATTTTTTCAATGAGCAGTAAAAACTGTGTGTCATTTTGGGGAAGAAGTATAATCTGCGCACGTTTTCGTGATCTCTAGAATCCTATCTTCTCTTTTAAGCCGTAAATAGTTGAATGATGAATAAACGTATCATCAAAGCAAGGTTAATAACGTTTGAAAATAGACATTTTGCTCCCGAGTTAAAGAAAATT